AACCTCTTCTATCCTCTCCTCTCCTCCCCACGGAGGCGCACGGATCCGGCAGCCGGCTGCCCTCTCCCCCGCGGGATCCCGCTCACCTCCCCTACCCTTCATTCCCTCCACAGATCCGGCGGAGGGGAGGGGCATCGGCGGCGGTGCGGCCGGAGGGGAGTGCGGATGCTGGTGGTGGGCGTCGCGGAGGCCGGCGGGAGGGCGGATCTGGCGGCCGGCGGCGCGGAGGCCGCCACCGCCGACAACGAGGGCGGAAGCGGTGCCCTCTCAAAGACTACGACGACGACGACGATGAGGAGGCGACGGCCGGGAGCGGCGGTGCCGCCGCCGAATTCTTTTTTGAATTTTTTCTTTGGAATTTTATTTTTCCATGCGGACGACATAAACACCTGCACGCGAAAAAAATCGCGACTTTCGGAGACCCTTGGGTGTGTGCGGGACGCCCACCCGCATGCGAAAATCACATTTTACCACATGTAAAAATCGCGATGCTTGTAGTGAGGGTAACTTCACCAATTGGGAAGCACATTACGGATATTACGGAACGGAAATTTCTAGTGCCTGCCATACCGAATGTAAAGCACACCTTCAACACGATGTATATTTATGTCTAGCTCTGTCATACTCCTTGATTGCTGACTTATAAACATTGAAACAACATAACAGCTATATATGTCTATCTATTTATGTCTATACGCACTTTGGAGTTTTCACGTTAATCAGCACTTGTTGAACTTTGTGAAAAATTCCATCCCTACCACAAAAAGTTCTATTCTATTTAGTCATTTAGAAAGGTTCAGTTCTATTCTCCAAACCTTATGATCGCACACTGGCATCTCCACAAGCATGCCATACTAGCTATACCTTTGCCAGTGAGCCCTGATTAAGCCTGGCAGCACCTGAAGGCAGATCTTGTCGCTGACAACATATTGAATTTCCTCTCGGAGTGATTGCTCATATTCAATCAGAGTGGTCACATATTCATCAGCAGGTTCATCTTGCTACAGTAGCCCGTGGCACCAATCATTTTTTACCGGAAGGCTTTGCCCAACAGTGAATTTTCATTAAAAGGGGAAAATATCTACAAGAGGTTTAAATTACATAGGAGACCCAAAAATTATAAAGTTTATAACCAATAAAAATTAGAATTTTGCATTAGTCCCAAGTGTCCCATGATAATCCATATGGTCTCCCTGGACCCAGTGTTGGATGATCACGACAGACATTACCAATCTCAAGCAGTTCTTCTCCAGGTGAATTATCATGGTCCGTGTGTTCTGTGACCATGTCCTCTAGGGATGCTGGTCGTCATTGTTTGCTTCCCCAATAATCTATGGATGAGTGCTGCAGTAGGCAAATTGCACGCGGCCGGAGACCACATCTTATGATGGGCGAGTCGATTCCCAAATGTCTTTCATTCCCAGCATGTTCACATGTATGAATATATATCTTTGCAATTTCGCTTTGGTTGTACTATCTCTGTTGTTATGTTGTTATGAGTAGCTAGTTATAGCCAAGTAAGGTGCGTACTCCACTAGCTGACAATCATACCAGGTGGCTAGCCACTGATGACTAATTATACCAGGTGAGTCTTTTATAATTGTGTTCTTGCCCTTGTTTTGAGTTGAAATTGTGATTTTACCCCTTGTTTTTAGACTTTGTGATTTTACTGAAATTTAGGTTTGCCCCGGTTCTGTTAAATCATCATAACGGTGTTAAGTTTGTAGTAAAAAGACAAGTACACCCTTGCAGCTACCAAAAGCAAGCACACGAAGAACGTCATCAATCCAACTTTCGTTCGAGCTAAAGTGCAGCTTGGGTGATTCACTAAAAAAATGAACTCCACATTGTTTCTGTTCTTTCCAGCGATTGCACAGCATGGAGAAATTAAGGACAGATTGCTGCAGCACCACAACAACTTTTCTTCTACATCAAACACCAGAAGGTCCTCCTCGCACGAGGATGAGCTGATGAGGCACAGCATGTCGGAGGGAATTGTGCTGCGGCCTAGCTAGCTAGCTTGTCGCGTCGCGTTGCATGCTGATCGCCGCGCTGCATGCTCCTCACTGTGCCGGCCACCTCTCGTGCGGCGTGTGCCACCACCGCCCAGCCATGAACCAGCTCACGCTCCATGGAGCTCTGTTGCCAGCCGCCGCTAGCCCGCTACCTCACCCGCCGCTTAGGTTGGGAATCGACTCAGAATGACCAAGAACCGGTGATGTTTGGTACTAGTAGATGTATTTGGTTTTGGGGTACAATGGTATAGTCATATTTTCTCAGTAATTTTATCTTTCTTTTAATTCATCTAGTATAGGTCCACCAAACTGTCATCCAAAACAGGGGCAAACAGGAGGTTATATTTCAAAAAACGAGGGTATAATCACAAACCCTAAAAACAAGGGTAAAATCATAATTGCATTTCAAAGCAGGGACAAGTATGCAATCGTCCCATGTTTTTTATATAAATAAGTACATCGAATAGACATAATGTGTATTATGTATAGTTCAATTCATTGCCTGACCAGCCCAGGATGTTAATTACATTCGTCAATAGAGACTGCAGTAGTGTGTCGTGTTGGTCTTTATGGATTACTAATTCCTAGTCTGGACTGTGATTTTGAACATATGCAACTTGAGTTTCATTGTCCATGAGCATCTCATGACATCTGCAACTTGGATTACTCATGCCAAAGCCTCCTCATCTTTTGAGCAATTGATGTTTCCATCTCTCTTGTTAATTGTACAGTAGTGTTTATATATAGTATGTGTAAACGCAGTGAATAGTAGACAGATACAGGCACACATCACAAATCTGTTTGATTTACCATTATTATCGAGTAGCTAAAATGGAATATGAAATAATTATTCATACTCGACGATGAAGAGGTGCTTGGGTGAGCCAGGAGCCAGCTTCCTGAGGCTGAGCTCCAATCCGAACATCGGGCGAAGTACTGGATGCTGGAAGTACGTCATGGACAAACCAAACTGTGAGCTGACGCGGCAGAGACCGACGTGCTCGCCAATTGCAAGTGCGATAGATTGGTCCTTAATTTTGATGTAGCTCCTGCGAGATTTATATTGGTACATTCTGTTGCAACTGAGCACAAGAAAACAATCATTGCTCAATTGATATTCCTAGTGTCCAACATTCCAAATAATTAAAGCCCGTCATCCAAACTGATGGACAATTTCTGTGTTTGACAACCTCTCTCCCACGAGAAAAAAGATCGAACCTTCTATTTGTATATCCACGGGCAAGGAAAGTAAATTTCAACCTTGCAAGGTTGCGCTGGAGTTCAGGTCACTATATGTCCAATCTCAGAGTCCAACCAAACTAAATATATATATTTAGACAGATATCATCTTGGCTATGCCCATATCTGTTAGGAATTCGTGTTGGCCTCATAAGTTCACCTCCAAGTAGTTTTCTCACACCGCATGTGGCGAGGGACAGATTCCCCGTGTACCGCCTCCCTTAGTAGCTTGCATAGCCATCGATGGTTCATGCCGTGAAGCAGCATCGACACTGAGAATACACATGGACAATGGAATTGATGACAAAAGAGTTGTTCCACTGATGCCCCATAATTTCTGAGTATACATGTACACAAACACTTGCAAGCATGATAAAATAACTCGACCTGCAGGGGTAAGACAGTCCCTGAGCATTTTGCATAGAAAAAAAAAATCTTCTCACTTAGGTCTTAGACCATGTGAAAACGACCAACGACTTGGGGCCGGCCTTAGACCTGTGCTTATGCGTGGGACATTCGAGATGATTTTTTTTTGGTTGACCCTAGCCTAAAATTTACTCCAACAAAGAGTCGAACCCAGGACTGAAGAAGCCATCTAACCTACTCAGCTAGAGACCCATTTGCTCATGAAAGCATGATAAGCCAAGTAATTTGGCTCAGTTCTATCCCTATTTAGTTATTGCCAACTCCAAAGTTTGTATAGGTGCTCTGTCTACGGCTGTTCATTGTGGCTAGATCCCTGTTAATTATTCGTTGGTGCTCAAGCTCTAAAAACATAAAGAAAGAAAACACATCGGGACATAATAGCACAAAAAATAGAGTACTGATCATACCGATGTGCTATCTTTATATCAGCTCAATAAAGCTCCCATCGAGCTGAGAAAACTCCTTCAAGGACGCCTTGGGTAGATATCAGTACCAAGAACCCTGAACACTAGTTCGATCGTCATCACTGTAGCATCATCCAAAGTCCTCATACAGATCAGGTTCGAATGTTCGATCGATTACTACTTAATATTGCTTAGCTCTTAACTAATCTGATGAATTGCTGAGGATATTGTTCATTGCTACATCCTACTGTGCCTGGGTGCATGAATAGTACACAACTGAAATTCCTAGTGCATGCCATTCCCAAGGAAAACCTATCATCCGACACAACAGACAGTTTCTATTTGAGACACCTTCTCTCCAATCTCGGTTTCTCACGGAAATCTTCAGAAGAGAGTGCCTGTGTGGCAGCCCTTTGTTGCTGAATCAGACTGTTAATTTATAGACCTGTGTGGCAGACTCTTCCAAGGTTAATTCTTGGCAAAAATTAGTAGACCATGAGTTTATGTTACAGTGTCCTAGACATGTCAGAAAAAGACTAGTTGTTTGTCATCAATACACGTATTCTGTTATATTTGATGGTTTTATAGTTTACTGTTCACAAAAATTAGTGGATCATGAGTTCATGTTACAATCCTGGACGTGTGAAAAAAGGCTATTCGTTTGTCACCAAAACATGTATTCTGTTATATTTGATAGTAGCCACACATGTCATACATCGATACACAAAATTTGTAGTCCTTCCACCTAAAAAAAAAAATATCGCATCCGTATTCCCTTGCTACGCTGATATCTGTGGCCAGTGAGCTTGGACATACCAAGAAGTAGATCATCATTTCACATTTGTTCCATGCGGAAAATTCTAAGTGATTGCTCGAAATGTAACGTGAACATTTTCTGTACATGCCGATTCTCGTAAATGTGCTTCTGAACATATTTACCGTGTAACTCTAGCATTCGTAGCATACGGTTCCAATGATTCATTGAGAACTAACTCAACAATAGGAGAAAACAGATTGCCTGAATGGCATTGTGCGTCAAATCCCTGATGCCTCCCATTCCTGGTTTGTGGACACGCAACACATGATGCTCAACCAATTTCTCTCCATCACGGTGGCCTCTCTCGATCTTGTTAAGCTTGTTTATATAAGGGGTGCTGGGTGTAGCTTGTGCTCAATATCTGACACACCAAACATGCATGCCATATGACTTATATATATAGGTGCCTGATACATATTCACCGGTGGTTTTTCTCCGTCATATCCAGTTCACCTACGAATTCAAGCAATGATTCTCCAATAAAAAATAAACAAATGTACATGGATAATTTGGCAATAGTTTTTAATGCGGAGTCTTGGCACATCACTTCTGTTCATGCACATTCATGTTGTAGTCACTTCTACCTAGCTATCTTAACTCCATCTAGTTGGTGTTAGCTCCATCAGATTGGTCCTAATTAATGAATTCTAATGATTCAGGGGCATTTTCATCTGAAGAAGAAAAACACATTTGATCCATAAAGGGTAGCTCTTCACCAATTGTGAAGCACATTACGAAATTACAGAACTGAAATTCCTAGAGCCTGCACGCCTTCAACAAGACACATATTTATGTCTAGCTCTCCCTTGTTTGTTGTCTTAATTATAAACTTTGTAATAACAGAACATACTGGTTAATGATGCTAGTGCGCCCTTATTACAGAGCAACTATGGATGTTTTTCTTTTCAGTTACAAAATACTCCCTTCGTTTCAAATTTTAAATCGCTTTAAATTTTTCCTGGTCAAACATTATAAAGTTTGACCAAATTTATAGAAAAACATAGCGGTGGCTTTAACATAAAACAAACATATTATCAAAATATACTCAATGTTATATTTAATGAAACTATTCTAGTATTACAATTGTTATTAAATTTTTCTACAAACTTGGTCAAATCTAAAGTTGTTTGATTAGAAAAAAAAAAGTCAAAACAACTTATAATATGAAACAGAGCGAAATAAATATATACCTAGAAACATCCCTGATGTCCGACACTAAATTGTCTACAGTTAGCCTTGTAAATGTTCCTATCATAAAAGCATCCATGTAAATTCCCCTTACTTATATGCCCTAGGGTGCAAGAGTTTTAACTGACACTATAAATAGACCCCAAGGGGCATGTAATGGGGGATCGCAAAAATATCAATATTAATACTTACTGTTTTACTTTTCCACCAAGACTAAACCACGTTCTTCGACAAACGCATTTGTCATTCGACAACAGCTGGCGCCGACCATGGCCCTAATCATTCGTTGGGGGGATCTCCATCAAATGTAGAAGGCATAGCCAAGAAAAGCTTCGGTGCTAGTCTATTCCAAGATGCTTTTCATTCCGAGTTCATGTGAGTCTCTCCCATTCTTGCTAGCATGCTATCTCCAGAGCAATACAATCTGCAAAACATCTATGGATTGGTCTATCTTTGGCTGCCAAGCTTGTCATATGGCTAGGTATATGGTACTAATACATGCAATGGTCTTTCCACTCAACCATAAATATCACCTATCAGCTGCCCATTTGAGATTGTTTTTGGTGCATATCAATAACTGCATATCGATTGGACGTTATGCCATTTTCAGTTCCTTAATTCAATCACAAGCCAAAGGAAAGTTATGACGACCAAATACACACACTGCATACTGCTTCGTGTGGTTTTTTGTGCACGCTTGATTCCTGGTAAGTATTTGAACGTCTTTAACATTCACAGTGTTGTGCAATAGCAGAGACAAAGGTGCAATTAAAAGCATGGTGAGCATGACGAGTGGTGTGGTCAGAGGCATCGATGGCAAAGACATGAAGGCGCAGCTCCGTGTAAGGGATTTTGTGAGCCTCTGTATCATCTGACGACTGAAATATGAGGGATATTTTTTTCTTTTGATTGTCAGTTGTAGCTCTGTTCTATATACATGTGTAAATGCTATGAACAGGGGTAGAAACTAAGCTGATACTCCCTCTGTCTACAAATGTAATTAAGCATTCTTAGAGTTACTCCCTCTGTCTACAAATGTAATTAAGCATTCTTAGAGTGCTACGTGTTCGAGCAAGCACCTCTTGTTCAAGATTGTTTCCATACTACCCTCAACCACCTTCCCACCTCTAATCACCTTACTTAATGAGTCCGGCCAAATTATTTTCTTACTAACCTCCATCTCTATTATACAGCACATAAATGTTCATATTTGTTGACAGTGGACATTGTTGGAATTAATAGAAGGGCCTTAGCCCATTCGAAGATCTATTTGGAAAATTAAAAAAATCCACCTCAAGGGATTGCATGCATGAGTAATTTAGTACCACATTGCCTATTACAGGAGAGGGAAGCCTCCTTATAAGGGTGTATCCTCTCTTAGCCACTGGAGCCAAGCGAGGTGGAGAGAATAGGGGGAACACGCGCGCGCGCTTGCTCGCCTGACCTGGTGGACCGCATGCATGACATACGTGTCGAATGTTACGTGCGAGTTATTTGGTTCGGTTACGCAGAGTGTAGATCGTGCAGGTGCCCTGATCATTTGAGCCGCAGCCTCCATGCAACATGCGCAAAATCAGTATAGGGTTTGCTTCCTCCTCAATACTGTGCCATCGCTCATGGTCTAGTCCATCCCGCTCGCTGGCATGCACCGGCGATCGGGACAATAGGTCTCCAGAACATTCGCCTTTAATGTTCTGCACCGGGAGAAGGTGGCAATGAGGTTTTTGGAAATTGCTTTGCACAACTGCTCCCTGTTCGTCTACAACGGCTTGTCTTCCAATTCGCTCGTGTGTTGCACACCATCGTCAACGCATGGTACTGCGAGTCCTTCATGCTTTACTGCTAAGTCTACATGTACGCATTCAACGTGTTTCGCATATTCTATATGTTTATGCTTTACTGCTAAGTCTACATGTGTAGATCGCATAATGCGATTCGGCTAGTTTACATTTGCAATGTCATGATTTATTTATGGAATAAATTAAATAATTATATGCTTATTGTTTCAACACAGATGTTACCAATTTGTTTTTATTGTAGTACAATTACAACATATTGCTATAACGCTGAGCTACGAAATATTTCCAATTTATATAATGTAGTATAATTAAAAATATAGAACTAATAGCTATTAGGAGCGCAGCCTAATATTCCAAGCGCCGAACATGCATCAGCCCAGGCCCACCCCACCTCACCTCCAGTCATCCCACTCCTACCGTTGTCGGAGTAAATGATTTATTCCTATCGCGTCCCTCTACCACCCACCTTTATTCGAGTAAACAATTTACTTCGATAATAAAAACAACTCCCCCGCTTCCGATCCTACCCCATGTCCCGCATCGTGCTCCCTTTATTATTGGAGTAAATGATTAACTTTGATAAAAACAACTTCTCTGCTTCTGGATTATATTATATTTTTCCCGTACCCAACCAACCACTCTCGCCCGCACTTCATTTTTTTCATTTTTTTTGGATTTGAATCGATCCACCATCCCAGCCCACAGATCGGCGACACACCATGGAGGAGGAGGACGACACCGTGGCGGTTGATGGCGGTGGACGGCGAGCGGTGGCTGGTGGCGGTTGATGGCGGTGGCCGGCGAGCGGTGGCTGGTGGCGGTTGAGGCGAAGGGACTGCTCCAGGCCTCACTGCCAGACGCTGGGTAGCACCTTAACCAGCAAGGAGGTGTTCACCTGGGCTAATAGCATCTACGAGCGGCTGCTCCATGTCGGCGATGTTGATAGAACAAGCAAGTAAGGAAATGACACTCTGATTTGCATCTGCATACTCTACTTCGACTTCACGCATGAAGCCCCAATTTTTTTTTTTTGCAAATCAAATTAACGTGCAATCTCCAATATTACCTAATCTCAATTGATGGGCTGCACAGGTCCTACATTTGCACATCGTGCTCCATGAGGCTGGCCGCAGACGATAGGGTGGAGTCCGTCGGTGATAGAGGTTGTTTGCTATTTTTCTTTTGCTCGTCATCTCTATTGACATTAACGAGAATGTTTTTGTATTTTTTTCGTGCTTACTAGATGATGGATGGCTGCTACTGCATAAAGTCGAGCTCATCTCTATACCACACCGCTACATCCTTCCATGATTCCATCGTCGACTACTGCTCGCCACCTGGTTGCCCTCTCCACCACTGGTCACAAGACATAGACCATTCTCTTCATCCTTATATCAAGATCCAACAAAGCCACCAGATGGATTTGTGGCCGAATCATTTTTTTTCTAGTTTGATTCACCTGTGAGTAATTTTATCGATTGTGTGTGATTGAGCCTGTAATTTTTTCATTCATACTACTCTTAGAATCAGTTTTTTACTTTTATACTGTATATTGAACACATCAGTAAACATATTTCTACACGGTGGCTACGAGACCATGGCTATATTGAGAGGAAGGTAGTGATTGTTTTACTCGCAGAACACAAAATCTCAGTTTTTACTCTCATACTATGTATTGAACACATCAGTAAACATATTAATACACGGTGGCTACAAGCTCATGGGCTATATCGAGAGGAAGGTAATAATTGTTTTACTCACAGACCACGAAATCTAAACAATATTTATAATATTGGTAAAAGAATTACTAGCGTTGTAAGCTGGTAGTAATTCTTTTACAACTATCTATGTATGGCGTCATATGATGTGAATGCATTCATGCGAGTAAATTTGTTACTTTTGAATGACCAGATGTGGGAGGCTGGGAGTAAATAAAAAACTCCACTAAGTAAATTGTTACTTTTGAAACGTGCGGAGATACTAGAAAAAATAGAAAACTCGGAAAGAACAACTAGACGGTAAATATTTACTGGGCCCATTGATGAAGCATGGATGAGATGGAAAAGAGAAAAAAGAAACACAGAAGGTGAGATGATAAGAAAATGAAAAAATGGAAACAAGAAAAGGTGGGATGCGGGGGTGGTAAAAAAGGGAAAAACCGGAAGGAGAGGGCGTTGTGGCGCTTGAACTAATATTCGCGCAATAGAGCGCGGACTAGCACTACCGTTAAAAATAACATATTTCTATGAACTGTAGCATCTTTTTTTCACATGCAAGGCTCTAATTTTCAAGCCTACAACCCCTGAAATCCCGTTATTATTCTTAAAAAAAGAAAATACAAAAAGCATACGGGTCTAGGCCACATCGATAACTCCTAGGATTTTGCGGTAGGGCCATGAGTGTCCCATGATATTCCATACGATCGACCTAACCCCGTTGTTGGATGATCACGACAATAATTGCCAATCTCGAGTTGTTTTGCTCCATGTAATTACAAGTGTTCTATGACCACTTGCTACTGTGTTATGCTGGCCATCGTAGCTTGCTGCCCCAACAGTTCATGGAGGATTGCTGCGACATGTAGTCAAATCGCACGAGGAGAACGGATCTTATGATAGTCGAGGTGATTCCCAAATGCCTTTCACTCCGATCATGTTCATATGTATGCATATATATATCCTTGCAATTTCGCGCTGGTCGTGCCCTCTCTGTTGTTATGAGTAGCTAGTTATAACCAACTCCTAAGTTCATATGGGGTGGGCACTCCTCTGGCCGACGAGAATATCTGGTGACTAGACGCTGGCAACTATATATTGTAGTCTATCGGCCTACCATAATTAGTTCACATAGGATGCACAATGTTTTTGGTGCAAATAGTTGCATCACATGAACGCCATCTGTATCTCTTCTTTCTATAAAGCTAATACCTACTCCCTCCGTTTCGAAATGTTTGACGCCGTTGACTTTTTATTACATGTTTGACCGTTCGTCTTATTCAAAAAATTAAGTAATTATTAATTCTTTTTCTATCATTTGATTCGTTGTTAAATATATTTTTATGTTATCTCACAAAAGTTTATGAATAAGACGAACGGTCAAACATGTGCTAAAAAGTCAATGGTGTCAAACATTTCGAAACGGAGAGAGTACTAAACACTTAAAGCTTAACATATAAACATACTCCCTCCTTCCCTAAATGTTTGACACCGTTGACTTTTTTAAACATGTTTGACCATTCGTATTATTCAAAAACTTCTGTGAAATATGTAAAACTATATGTATACATAAAAGTATATTTAACAATGAATCAAATAATAGGAAAAGAATTAATAATTACTTAAATTTTTTAAATAAGACGAACGGTCAAACATGTTTAAAAAAGTCAATGGTGTCAAATATTTAGGGATGGAGGGAGTAGTATTTATTAGTACTCCTCTACATGTAGCTTTTCGTTTTTTTTAAAAAAAGAAAACCTACATGCAAGCATGCCGCATCAACCCATTCGCACACAAATCTGTAATTATATCTACAGTTTATTTCATTCTAAAGCTAAACAAACACATCCTAAATCATCACTCAAATCATTTTTATAATATTTTAATACAAATCATTTCAAGATGTTCGTTTTCACGGGGCTGTGAGCCCCTGAACATCTGCAATAACACGCACGATATTCTGTAATAGCAGACGAACTCAGGTTGTTGTCTGTGTGCATGACCATTGCATGGCCTCTCCATCGTTCGAACAGTTTGATGTAGTGTTTATGTACTCCCTCCTCGTTTGATGCCGTTGACTTTTTTAAACATATTTGACCGTTTGTCTTATTCAAAAACTTTTGTAAAATGTGTAAAACTATATGTATACATAAAAGTATATTTAATAATAAATCAAATGATTGGAAAAATAATTAATAATTACTTAAATTTTTTGAATCAGACAAACGGTCAAACATTTTTTAAAAAGTCAACGGCGTCAAACATTTTGGGATGGAGGGAGTATTAGATATATGTAGACGTAGTGAATAGTAGATAGATATATATACTCCTATATAGGCACACATCACCAACTTGTTGATTAACCGTACGTTGTTATCAAGTAACAAAAATGGAAAAGAGAAACGAGACATTACACATTTCTTTTATTCGTTCTACCTGACTTTGAATTTGGAACATGGTTTGCAAGAGAGAAGTAGCCATATTTTGGAAACGCTTGCATTACGGAGTACAGTATGGCTTTGACATACATAAACTGCGCACTCCTATAGATATTCATACTCGACAAATAAATGCTGCTTGGCTGAGGTAGGAACCAGCTTACTGACCTATCGGAACAACGGGCGAACTCACTGCAATTAAATGTACTAGGCACTCTGGCGCGCTTCGCGGTGCCCCTTCGGAAGTTAGTGTGGTAGTATTTAGGAAAAAAGAAATCAATGTGATATAGCGAGTACATGAGTATTGTGGGATTAAAAGCAACACATGACAGCATTGTATTAGATCAAGTAAACAACTAAGCAACACAACTTGATTCGATGACTATAGATAATGGTTTCTAGGTATTGCAAGGTAAAAAGGTAGGAGATAAGATTATTTCAACATCACGATTAGCATTGCAATTAGCGGAATCTATTGTTCTTTCTAAGCTCTTGAGGTAGACGGCGTCGTGGTGCAGATGTGGATGCTGCTTCGGAAGGCCCTTGATTTGAGTCCGCTACTCTTGGTGTCCACTGAAAATTCATGATGACAGGAACCCTGGAGTTTGTTTCCTCATAGTGTCTCAGCATCTCTCCATCTGTATCACTGCCACTACCGTCATCAGAGTAGTCAAATAGCTTTTCAATATGCACTAAGATAGAAGCAGTTGCAGCCTCACGGTCCCAATCAACCTTGCTTGTATGTTGAGGACCTTTTGTTTCAATGTTCCAGTCCATAATCTTTGGTATCAGATTAACATATATTGTCCAAGCTGCAAGCCTAAAAATTGAGACATCTTGTATATGATACTGCTCATAGATTTCTTCTACCATACAACTATTGTCCAATAGTTCAGGTATTGCCTCATTATTCCATGTTTCTGGGGGTATACCTTCCAGAGCAATGATAACTCTTTGTCTCAATGGGTTCTTTACACTGTGCATGTTAGGCTTGAAAGGATCAAACGCTAATCGAGTTGTCTGAAACGTGTAAGTTTTTTGTTCGATTAATCTTTCGGCTGCTTGTTCCTGCCCATCTTTATCCATGAACAAAGCTAGATACATCCTGTGTTTGAATGCAAGAAGTGCTATGTCGCCTGGTTCTGACTTGGATATGGTAGACACCATAGCTACCACTTTAGTCTTTGTGGGTGTGCCAGCTCCTAGGATGGTGACAACAACTGCATTGTGATAAATGATATCTGCAAGTAGCTGAGATAGTGGTTTTGATTTGCTAAACTTGGTGCCTCTAAGTGGTCTGTTGGTTCCATATGACATCGCTAAATCTACATGAAAGTATCTTACATAAGTAGCAGGTTTATGCATGAAGGAGACAAACACTGAAGTAGACAGCAGAAAGAAATGTAGATTGAATGGTTGAGCTTGTTACCTTTTGTTGAAGACACTGAGCAAGGAGAAATCGCTGAAGCAGCAACGCAGGATAGAGGAAAGCTAGTGTGCATTGCTCAAAGGGACTCAGCGTTCTATATAGAGGATGCTTTCTACATTGTATTTGGGTTGGTGTGGTGTCTTGTCAAGTCCTGGTCAAGAAGCTGCAACGGTTAAAGTTTGTGCTGGATATGTTTGAATGTAGCTATGTTATCTGGTTATGTCTGTATAGCGTTGGTTGAAACGGGTGAATTCTAGAGGAATCGTTAATTGTCGGCCTCTGCTTTGTTCATTAAGCTGATTGAAATGTGTGAGCGGTAAACACAGTGCTCGCTATGAGTATGTGATATCTTTAAGCAGTAACTATGATTGACGAACGTTGGCTATTAGATTGTGAAACAAAAACATCCAGCTGTATGTTCGATGCACTGAGCAGACTAATAAACAGAGATTAAGGAAGGTGTTTGAATCCATTAGCTAACTTAAACCATTCCACATAGCATTCACTGTTATCAAGGTATAGCCATGATAACCATGAATACTGCTAGCAATGGCAGATGTCGATTGCAGCGTTACAAATTAAGTTTCAGATTACATGAATAGAAATGGCATTTTCGTGCGATATATGGAATGATCACATAAAATGCAGGTTTGCAAAAGGCAGTTTGCAGGCTCGGCGACAGACATGATAAGTATGAGCTATCAAACAAAAGGCTCTTTTGATCTGCAACTGTGTCGAAGGAGTGAGCATCTACTCATTCTTGTCTGGGCTGCAGTCTCGAACAGAGATTGTGTAAGTAAGATATAACAAACAATGCTTATCGAATCTGTGATCGTGTGAAGGGGAAGAGGAATACCACTTTTCACCCTTTTGCTCATCATCTTCCTTGAAAAGTTTTTTGACCGTAGCACTTCCTGGAGAAGACCGTGTCCTGTTGCAATCTATCTGTTGGCATACCACTGACAAAACAAAAGTATGTGGCATATAAATGAAAGGTGATATCTAAATCTAACCTCTTCCTTGGTGCCTTGGAAGCGCTATGCTTTGTGGCTGGGCTAGGACATTTCAGCGTGGCAAGTGTCGCATTGTCATCATCCTAGATGCATTATTATTGTTGGTTGGTGATAATGTAGTTTTTCTTAGATAATAAACCAACTGGCATAGTTAGAGAGAGACGTACCTCATCCTCTAATCGCACAGGAGTCCCAGTTGGTGTCTTTGATGAGCATTCCTGATCTACTACTTTGCCTTGCATAGGTGTTACAGGAGGGCTATTGAAGCCAAGAGAAGGTGTAGCAGTCAAGCTTTGCTGGGCAATAGACATTCCTTGAGAAGCACTTGGTGACATAGTCAAGAGAGGGACTGCAGACACCGCCTGAGATGATGATGGTGACTGAAGCAGTAGGGGAGGTTGTGAACCATTTCCAATAATGTTGTTAACTTGGAAGGAAATGCTCCCATTTGATATAGTTGTATCAGTCATACTAACATTCCAGGTGAACTGTTTTTCTAGCAAATCAGTGATCTGTTTAGGAATATATGCTTCATCGGCCGGGTGCTGATCCAGTAAATTCTCTACTGATTTGCCTATTATCCTCTGTGCCATACGACCAAACATAACAAACTTTGTATCAGCGGTGTCATCTCCAGCTATAAGACCAAGCTTAAACCTGTTTATAATAAGCAGAACAATCATCGTTTTGCAAACGTGAAAACAGGAGCGAAAGCCTAGCAAAGCTATAAGATGAAGGAAACCTTGGTGATGCTGGCACAGTTGCTGGGCAATCTCCACCTCCACAGCGATATGTTTTTCCATATGGCCTTGCAGTCCTCCTGCATCTGTCACATGCTACGTACCACCAAGACCCATCTATTTTCTTTATGGTGACTGTGACGACAAACTCGAGTTTCTGCAGTTTAGATACCATGAGCATTGGAAATAAAGACAAATGGTTTCAGCTAATGAGCACATTATTTAATGTTGGTTTGTTCATTTTACCTTATGCACGAATGGGTTTAGGTCCTTGATCTCGATGATTGATTTTATCTCAGCAGCAGATCATACGGCATCAGCCCGGGGTAAGTCAAGCCACCTGACTGGTTCCTTTTGAGTTGCCAGGCTGCAATTTGAGTCTGTTGTTAGCGCTGAGCTAGGCGGATTGCAAATCATAGAATACTGAAAACATTTTTTTATGGATCCTACCTATCTCTTAAGCTTCAGACTTCATCGCATTTAATATTGATGTACCACTTGCAAGCAGAATTTCCTGAGAGGTAGATTTCCCCTGCAAAAAAGTATGTTTGCATGGCGCTATAGGATGAGCATGTAGTAAGATGCACAGAAACTTCCTAAGAAAAATCATCATGACATGCTTACTTTTGAATCCTTTCACCAACGTGCCAACAAATATCACAATTTGTTGTTCTGACTGACCCCTAGAGAAGACTCTTCTGCAGGAAACTCAGTAGCGCGGTCTCCCCAAAGCGAAACACGAATAGTGGCATTGCTAATGAAGTAAAGTGATATTACATGTTTAAAATATTTTGTGGTTAATGGGGGTTAAAAAATGGTTGTGGAAATTTCTGCGTGCATGTCACATTAGGCAAACAAATTTAAGAAAATATTAGTCAAATGAAAAGCATAAGGATGTCTAACTTTGCATCGCTGATGAACACGTTGCGCTTTAGGCTGTCGCCGTCCCTTGTACGTGATCGAACAGAAGTAATAGATGAAACCTCAGTGATGACTCCGATAGTATCTATATCAGGAAAAAAAATTGAGTTTTGAGTTGTCTGTGATAAAAAATGATTAGTAGTAACCAATGAAATGTAACCATGTGTAAAATTGGCATAATTTATTTTACCGGTGAATGAATCTTTGTTGTCAAGAAGCGCAGTGAGCTGGTTGAAAGATTTCAGGGAGTAGGTGTAGAATGGAAAGCTGGTGGGTGCATTCACATACTCCTCAACAATAGTCCATCCTGTGAATGCAATAGCAAGAGAGTTGCTCACTGGCTTGTAGGATCTGCTACAATTCCTCACAATATAGTGTGTCAGGTAGTAAATCTTTCCTTCCGACAACAGGGGCTTAAAGAGTTTACCATCTGGTGGGAATATCTGAGCTGCAATGCTGCCTTCCTGTAATTAATATCCATACTAATTTAGTGCCGGTTTAGTAAGATATATTTTACTGTATATAGAAGTGTGTGTATAGCAGTAATTATCTTACCGTCTCATCAACCAATACAAGTGCTACATGCAGAAGAGATATATCATCCTTAGGGTCATTGAAGTTCCACATACGCGAAAGACGCACATAAATGCGCGGATTGCCAAGACCAGGCTCAAGCTTAGAGATAATGCAATGATCCATCTGTAAGTGAGGAAACACAAAAAAAAAATGTCAGCTCAACCTATGATACATTGATAGCGTAGGACACTTAAAAGCATGACATAGGTGGTAACCAGTTGTATTAATAAGAGCTATTGTGCAAAATTAAACTCCATGGTAACCTATATGTGCAAACATCTCTGTAACTATTCCCCTTTCATGTTTGTTGTTCCTGCGTTTGACACAGATAAATGAATGTATAAGAAGCATGTCCAGAAAATAGGGATAAACCACTTGAACATCCTATAAAGCACACTGTCACCTCTATTGCCTGAAGTATCTCATGATACACCACATTCCTAGTTTCCGAGGAACAATTACCATCATCATCCACAATTAGAATTTTGAGCCCTTTGCGTGAAGTGGCTCTTGACACAGCAACATATAACTGGCCATGTGTGAATAAAAGTTTCTTCAGGTAAACCCCAACGTGTGACAACGTTTGGCCCTGGCTGTTGTTTATTGTCATTGCATAGCAAACACGTACGGGGAACTGTCTTCTTTGCAAGATAAATGGCCACTTTGAGCTAGTAGTGTTAAGTGCTATCCTTGGTATGAAAACCGTTTCACCAATCTTAGATCCAGTCAATACAGTGCACTGAAGAACCCACTATCCTAACACATCAACTAATAACCTAGTGCCGTTGCAAAGTCCCATCGATTGATTAAGATTTCTCAGTAGCATAACAGTGACACCCTTTTTAAGCACAAGCCTATGGTTTGGAAAGTTGTTCACATTTATAGAGTTGAGAAATTCAGTAGGATAAAGCAAATCGTAATCCTGTATGTGCTCACATGATTTACAGATTGTGTCACAGCTAAGGTACTCCTTTTCTTTTCCTGGTATCATGTTAACAACATAGCTATTAATGTCATCGACAGTAGCATTGTTAGGACACACAATGGCACGACATGAAAGGTATTCAGGATTCCTGTGGTTATTCAATAGATCAGGAAAGACTTCATTAATTAGTGCAGGTATTTTCTCACCATCTGTCTTTATCAGCAAGTCATCAGGAATCTGAACCCATGATGGCTCAGATTCGTCGTTTTTCACTGTCGCTGGAATTGTTCCATTGCCTATATCTAGCACCCATTTGGCAAACCTATCAAGTTCGTCCTTATCTATTTGCATAAGGTCGTTTCAAAGCAACTGCATGTTTGTTTTCAAACTGAGAAGAGTAATATGGGGCCAAAGTATTGAGTTTGTTATCGAAGCATCAATTATTGTTGTTTTTGAACCTTTTTGTACAACTGGTAAGATCTGGCGGAAATCTCCACCAAGAACTACCACTTTTCCACCAAATGGTCTAATAGCATTTGCAGGTTCCTCCTCAGAAAGTAGGTCACGCAATGTCCTATCTAACGCTTCGAAACAACGTCTATGTGTTTGGCGCTTCGTCCCATATAATCAATGATGTCTTTTGAATTACGTCAGCAAGCATGGTGCCTCTTCGAATGCTACATATGCTGGTTTCACTGATTTCAATTGGTATCTTAAACCTCGAGTGTGTTGTTCGTCCTCATGGGAGCAACAAAGAAGCCACTCCTGATGATGCCACCGCCAAAACGATTTTTTTTTTCGGATCGTATTTTAGATATTATAGTGTTCCATAGAAATGTCTTGTCCGTACCACCATGGCCATAAATGAAAAAAAACCCAGGACGGCCATCGTTGACACAATCCACTATAGTATCAAATACTTTTCTTTGCTCACTGTTCAGTTTTGGGATCAATGCATTTGCATGGGAGGCTAACGCATCACAGTCAACATCCAGTTCTTCATCAAGGATTCTATTGCCAACTATATGGTCTGGGATGTTGTTTGTTTGTGGAAGATCATAGTCAGCTATGGAACCACCACTCTTTGCAAACACATCAGCAAGGTTCTTAAGAAGCAGTGCTAATAACTGGTCGTGTGGCACCACATATGAAGGGTTCGAAAGAGCATTTTTTAATCTATGTTAGATGTCATCTGTGAAGAAAACCCAGTATTTGTTAAACAGTTCACGCACATTGGTTACTGAACAAAACATAACAACAGTGACAAAAAGCTGCCTAAGTTGGTATGAATTTGCACTCAAAATAGCCTCGTCAAAAAGCAAATGCCATTCATTATCACTGTCAAGGAGCCCTCTAGCTTCGCACGCTTCTTAAAATGTTGAATATGTCACACCATTGAAAGTTCGGACATCAGCATAGCTACATGCACCTTTGACTATCATAAGAAGCATTCGCAAATAGTATAGCTCCCCGGAAGTCGGGCTTACATAGTATATCCTACCAATTTTTTCACTTGGAGTTCTAGGGCGCCAATGTCGTGCACTACTATCCCATGTCCATTCCTTTGGAAAGTCACAGTAAGTCAAATTATGTGCAGAGGTGTGTTTTTTATTACCCTCAAACCATTCTGTGAGCATAGTTTTCTTTGCAGCAGGACTATTCACCAATGCAGAAAGATCTGTTCCTTTTTTATATCTAACAAAGCTCATGTTTGGTAAGTGCACCGTGAGTCGTTCAACGGAGGGAAGTCTGTAGTGGATGTCAAATTCATAGGCACGCCAGAAAGCTTCACATGTAGATAGGAATCTAGCATCTATGTATTCTTGTATTTCGTTCCTGGGAGCATTATTTTCACTATTTGATCTGTTCATTGTTTGGGTTGATGTCTCAAAATAGCGTTTTGTGCAATCAGAGCCTTTCGTCACATACTTGAAAAGGTACTTTATCATGTTTGATTTGTTGCACCATTCTACATTTATATGAGCTTGATATTTTTTGAGTAGTTTCATATTGTAGGGAACAACGTTTCTATTATCTAGTTTTTTACCATTCTTAATTACATAGCGACCATCGTCTCGTCTCTTGTACACAGTTAACCCAAACTCATCAAGTATTGTTTCAGCTTGGAATGTTTTAGGGAAATGTTTAGAGCACGAACCTTTTTTCATACATGGGCAAGTTTTATTGTCTACACCACACGGGCCATGTATCATGAACTCCTCGACTAATGCATAACCCAAAGGATCAGCAAATACATCAGGTAATTCTGCTGAGATGAAGCCGTCCACAACCGCTGCACTAAAATTAGCATTTTGAGCTGCTAACCACACAATGCAATGGATATGAGGAAGCCCACATTTTTGGAACTCCACAGTGTAAAGAACTGCACATTCGAAACCTAGATGTAAGGACTTGTGTGAGCTTGCTTGCTTAGGTCAACAGAAAAGCAACATACCTGCAAGGATAGGACCAAACGTGTTGCCCTCTCTGATATCAGATATAAACTCGTTAATATTAAAAACTCGCACTATCATATCAGACCTATCACTTGGCACTTGGCCAGGTTCGTAAATAAGGGCATCATAAATTTCTTGCCACTTCGAATTGCACGTGAATGTCACAAATAGGTCAGGTGCACCTAATACACGGCAAATCGCCATCGCATCTTGAGAGTTCTGCACTATATATCTTTTGCCACCAGTGAAGCTCGTTGGCAGAACATACTTCTGTCAACATACTTCTGTCCAACAGAATCTCCAGTGGAAAGACCATGGTCAATTGCATCAACAATGCCTTGCACACACTCAGTATGTAGGTCTGGTTAGTGATCAGCTATAAACTGTAGCCTCGATGATTCAACAGTGGAGTAAGCATCTACAACTAAGGAGTCGCTTAGCCTTCCACAACATGTGTATGGATTGGGTTTGTTAAGTCTGTAGTGCATCCTATACCTATAGTATTCTAGCATCGTCACGTAATGTCGTGTAGTAGGTAGCAAGCTAGGGAAATCAGTATACTTGATGCCAAGGTGGTAGCCCCTTTCTCCATATGGGAAAAGCAATGGATATTGCAGCGCCATATATGAGGGATGTAGAGCTGAGACCTGACGCAATCGATTGTCAGTAGATTTCACTAATACATCGTATATATATGTTTTTTTTAGCAATCCCCAACAACAATCGCAGCTATCTCACCACTTGAAGGCAGATTGTAATGCACTTCATCCTTCGCATTACAGCCCATGAGCCTAAGAGTGATCTCCTCATCACCATGTTCATCTAATCTCTCTTTTGCATATCAAAAAGCTTTGACCAGCTCGTTATTATCATCAAGCATTGCACCTAGGTTATCTATAATGTCTTTGTCAGGACCACTATCATCTGATCGTTCTCTCTCAAACATATTAAGCCTATTCTTTGTTTCATTATCAGTGTCGTATATATATAGCTGCGCAAATTTCGGTGGAGCCCCACGGCGAGGAAGCAAGCTTCCTATATGGTGGTGGACAACCCCATTTATCTTGAAAACACAAGGCGCTGAACCTGTATTTATCGATTTGTCGACATCAGCTCCTAGGGATGTAAATGAAAAGAGAGTATTGTATGAGCGGATTTGTCTAAGAAATCGCTTAGACCTAGCATCACCATCATATCGGAGAACTTAGCTAAGAACGGAGGAGGAATTCTTAGTTCGGGAAGTTCAATCTTGCCTCCCTTGCAACAAACATTGTAAACAATCTTTCGTTTCGATAACGTGGAGCTCTTTTTGACCCAAAGACAGCACCACAGTATGGACACTCGTGAGAAGGGCCATCATAGTATGAACGGTCAGGGTGTAGTGCTGCAGCAAATAGTGAGTCATGCACTGGCAGAACGGGACGTAAAACGTGACAAAAATAAGAAAACAAACAAACTGTAACCTTTTAGGGATTCAATATAATCCTTAAGGAGTGGCAGGATGTCTTCATATGAACCGCATGGACCTATATGTCCAATAGATGGTAAGACTCTATAACCAGGCTAACACTTGTAAGCATACATGAGAAACATGTTATTCCAATAACATACCGTTAAGTACGCCACGAACAAAAGAAGGATTTTCGCCGGCCGTTCTCTTGACGTGGCGTCTCTCCCTATTAACAGAGGCCACCTTAGATGGCACATCGAGCAACGTCCTTTTTCCTGAAGCATGTAGACGTAAACATCGTAGCAACTGGATCACGTGTTTGTCTATGCAAAATTAGATGGGCACTTACTGCTCACGATAGGAACATTAGGCTGAGGTGCTATAGCTGGTGTGGACTGTTCAACCCCAATAACACTCTCTGTACCACTTGCTAGTGGCTCTTCGGTAGTTTGAGCAGCAGAAGGCTGCTCAGGAACACCCAAGACAGGTGTTTTGAGGTAGCTTAACAACCGCAGGGAAAACGATGTCAGCTGGAATGGGATGGCCCAAAAAGATGGTCAATTTTAACAATAAAGACGCTAACCTTGACCTATCGCGAAATGGCGGCGTTCTCGGCTCTCTCGAGCCCTCTGTACCCGGAGCGCAGATTGGGGTGACACAAAACGGGATGACATCTAACCACACATATATAGAGCGATATGATATTGCACGTGTGTGTTGCAAACATATGTCAGCACATAGTTCTGAAAATGCTAATAGAGAATTGCATTACTGGAAGTAGAATAAATGAGATACAGCAACCCGACAAATAATTTAACAGCAACACAAACAATTCTATTACACAAGGGCATTGCAAAGGGCAACCCAGAACAAACACCAAATCTCAGAAAACGATAGTAGCTGAAAACAACCTAAAAACCACCTACATCCAACCAAAATGATTAAGGTTGTGCTCTTCTGCCACAAAAGCAAACCACACTGAGCAGAACTCTCTAAAGAGCGACTCAAACCTAAAACAGTGGAGGTCATGTGGTGCTCTCATATGAGCTAAACAGGTCAAAGCAACTATCGCCAAATCAATCGCAGATGCAGCTATCTCTCTGTAAGACACCATATATCTGAAATTGTAGTCATGAACAACAAATCCATAAATGGACTGAAGGAACCCGACAGCCTCCCTAGCAGCAGGTTCGTGTGCTGTCTCGTACGGCTCGAATGGAACACACCAAAAGAAGCGACACCCTCTCTGGCCCAAATGTTCCCCGCTCACAAGCACAAGCTCCACTCCAGCAAGAAGAACACCATCACTCCCCATTTCCCGCAGTTAAGAAACCAACGGTAGCTGGCAATGGCTAGCCACAGCCTTCAACAGCGACACAGAGGACACACCGATGGAAGACACCGAGGGATGGCATACTGTCAGGAGGCTGCAGCGCGAAGCGTATTAGCGTGAGAGGAGAAAGACTACAACTGACAAGAGCTAAAGAAGGAGGCGGACCAAACATGTAAAGAGTAAATGCACAGCAACC